GGAGGATATATTTGGAAAGAAGAGCAATACCTGCATGAGGAGAACGATGAACATCAGCGGTTGAAAATTTGGACCGGGCCAAAAAAAATAAGCGTTTGACGTGTAGTCGACCGCTTCGTTGTTTTGAAATTTGTGCTGCATTTTAGGTTTTGTATGAAGTTTGTAATGTTTACAAATTATATTACCTAATAATTCAGAATATCACACAAGTGGCATTTAATGAATTCATGCTCAATGGGAAATATATTTCAACACCCCTCCCCCTTATATAAGGTGTATTATTTTTGGTGCGGTGACCAAGGCACATAATTATAGATAATTTAGTACAAAAATACCCTTAGTTAATTAATTAATTAGTGGTAAGTGAATCGTTTAGGCTAGGAAAGAAGGGGTACACGCAATCGGTAGAGACATACTTTCCTTATTTTTCTTTACAATGAGAGGTACATGCAATCGTTAGAGAGATATGTTTCTTTTTTTTCAGAGGGTTAAAAAGGGAATTGTAAGAAATTAAAAAAAATTTATCTTACATTTTAGAATTTTATCAAAAACAAATGCACCTTATATAAAGGAACGGAATGAGTAATATGTTTGCCGTGAATTGTCCCATAGGCTGGACCTCTATATAATCTGATACATCTTACACAACAATGATACAGGCAATCTGATCCTAATCAGATCTTACACCACCATACACAACACAGCAGATTACAATTGCTACATAAATATCTTAATCATAACTACAAGAGATATGACTGATACTATTCTAAGTACGTTTTGTTAAAACGGATGGACAGCAAACGCGCGTCATCGATGATCTGGTTATATACATTATGTTTAGCTGACGCTTCATTAGCCGCAGATGAGCTTGCCCTCGTCCCACCCACCCATAGAGCTTCATTAACTCTTTTTTTTTGCGGAGAAGTAGGACTAACTAACTAACTGTAATAACTCTTGTAAACAGAATCTATCTTACTGTCTCGCCTGTCCGACAAAGAAAGACGCAGTGTCGAGTCACCAGATTTGGTTACCCATATATACGGTCGGCCTCCGTGCATCTGGCCATAGATCAGACCCACGGTGTACCCCCTACTATGTTTTGGTCGGAACAGGATACGGACAAGAAGGCAATTCTATCGTTGCGAGCAAGCCAGGTTCCTTCCATTCAGAAAAAAAAAGAAGAGAAAGGCCGCCCGCGCGAGGGGCCGGTATTCCTCCAACAAAATACTCCCTCCGTTTCCAAATAATTGTCTTTCTAGCCATCTCAAATAAACTACAACATACAGATGTATGTAGACATGCTTTAGAGTGTAGATTCACTTATTTTGCTTCGTATGTAGTCACTTGTTAAAATATCTAGAAAGACAATTATTTAGGAACGGAGGGAGTACACAGCACCCAGGCTCAACGAATCTGTGGCCACGCTCGACGCTTCTTGCTCAGTGGAATTCCGTCGAAGCCTCGAGCCTTCACGCTGCCCTACCTTCCCGGTGCAGCCGCCACCACCATGGCACCGTGTGTGTACCGGTGCATGCACTCCTCGCTCGCCTTTATTAGCAGAGAAAAAAAAAAGGAAAAACAAGGACGTGGTAGTGCACATTCGCTTGCGACGGACGTGTTTAGAGATGCAACAGGCCGCTGGACGGCGCCGACATGCATGCACATGTCCAACCATCTTTGTTTTCCTTTGTTTTTTTCTCTTTTTTTGAAAGAATTTCTCCTTTGGTTTCACTTCACTTAATCTGACAGTCCTGCTAAGTCTCAATCGACACTATATCTGTCAGATTTCACATTGAGATCCGTGCTAAACTTTTTGTTCTCATTTTTTTTCTTTCTCTCGCTTGCATATTATGTCACTTGAGTGGGACTTGGTTAAATCTCAGTCGACTAAGACTATACCTGGGCCAATCCTCGGGCCGGGCCTAGCCAAGTCCGAGGCAAAAAAAAACCGGCCCAGCCATCGGGCCTGGTTTTTAAGCCCAAGCCCGGCCCGAACACGTAAAAGCCCGGCGGCGCTCGGGCCGGGCCCCTTAAGAAAATCGCAAAAATGACGGGCCCCGCCCGACCATCGGGCTCAAAATCTAGGCCCGGGAGCAGCGTCGGGCCGGGCTTCCCATGGCGGTATAACTGAGACCCAGTCAACACTCTAATATGAAGACCAAAACAAATCGTTCGCGAGCAAGCAAACGTGGGAGGTCAAAAAGGAAGCGCGTATCAGTTCCGTTTGATTTTTTTTTATTTTTTTTCTTTTCATTTGATCGCGCCGCAGGTGAGGACGCGAGAAGAGAGTCGAGTCGCCAAAGAAGAAAGCGAAAAAGGAAAAACACAAGGAAGGTGACAAGAGACACTCTCTTATTCTTTTATGGCTGGGATCGGAAGGTTGTGTACTAGCACCCCTCTTTTAAAAATGATGAAGCCCAGCCCTTGTTTGCTGCGGCTCCCGGTGCAAACAAGAGCCGCGCAGGTGCGTGTGCTGCGTCACCATGCCCGTCGTACGGCTGACACCTCGATGAAGTTTATTTATTTATTTATTTATTTATTCATTGATGTTTCCACGAGGACCGCGAAACCACGACTAGCCGGAACGGAACGGAACGGGTCGAGTCGGGCAGAGGCGCCGGACCTGCCTCTCGAAACACCAACCTTCGTCATTCCACGGTCCCTGCGACATTATTTGTTTTATAAGAAAAATAAAATCAGATTTATTACGAAGAATCACAGGAAGTACAGAGCATCACAAACATAATAAAAAAACATCGAGATTTGAAAGACCATCAAACGATCATTACTGCCGCCAGAACGAGGCGCCGCTCCCCTGTCGGAGCCGGCTTGACCTTGTCGATGACAGCATGAAAGTCTTTTTCATGCACGAGCCCTAATGGCCAGCGCCCTGGGGTTCCTCATCATTGAACCCTTTGCATAGATCTAAAGCACCTGACACCAAATCTTGCTACACAACGAGAAATCCTAACGTCACCGCCCAAGACAAGCTTGAATCTACGCCGGAGCTCCGCCGACTACATCCAGACAGACAAACTCGAGAAAGATCGGTGCCCGGTAGAGAAACTCGAAGAAGAAGCGTTATCATCTACCCGACGCCATACCCGCGAGGAATTAAAAAAAACTAACTTAACCACTAACCCGGAACGGAGGCACCGGGATTCCTCTTCCGGTCACCGGCCGTCGAAGCGTCAGGCAGAAGGGATGTGAAAATGCACGGCCTTGCTGATGAAATCTAAAGGAGAAAGTTTGCCCTGCCCATCTAAGGTTGGGGAGAAAACGCGAGATCCAAGTAGGACCTCGCGACATTACATTTTAACTTGTTATTAGGTGGTCTACACGTATACTTTTGAATTTTTACACCGCCATGACTATTGATGAGTATGTCGAAAACTCCCTCCCCCGAAAAAAAATTACATTATGTAGTGTTAAGAGTTTCTTTGTTTGTCAGGAGGCACCGTTAAGATTTGAATTTGTTGTTCTTACTCTCTAAACATGTATTGGACTTTGATAACTTTTCAACATGGTAGACACCAATATTCTATGCGAATTGCGTCGCTCACATGGTTAGATTCTTTGTAGTAGAACCAACCACTAGGGCCCAACTTGTAGATTTGACACCGATGCTCGCAAATTTCTGGATTTATTTCATACTTTCGACGATGTTGGTTCAGTAGAAGGAGGCGTTTTCGTTGACTACGAGACATCTGTGGTGACTTTGTCAATCTCAAGATGTTGTGCCGGCTCATTATTTTGAGGGATACTTATAGGGACAAGGTGTGCGTGCGTGCTCAAAAGAATGAATGTATGTGAGCACCTGAGATTGGTGTTGTGTTAAAAAAAGATTCTCCATCGACTAATGTGCGGTTGCACCGGCGATTAGGGTCTTCCTGTGGTTGGATGGTTACGAGGATAGTCGTATTCCCATCCCATGTCATGTTGGTGGTTGAAGGCCAAGGACGAAGTGAAAAGGGGAGATTGTTTGTCACGAAATGAAAAGGCAAGACTGTATCTATTCTCGTTCTCACATGGAAAACGGGTGACGGAGGAGTCCGGAGCACGCCGTAACTTTTGCAGTTCGCCCCTCTCGGCCGCATCTGAGCCTCCGCCGAGAGGCACGAGCTGTCCTTGGCCTGGCCAACGGAATTACCGCCGCCGCCGTCTCGTCTGAACCGGCAAGACGCCAAACCCGGCGCCCCCTCCTCCTCTCCTCCTCGGCCACCCACCCCCACCCCACCCCACCCCACCCAGCTGGCCCCTCCTCCCTCCCTCCCAAACCCCAGAATCCCCCGCCCCTCCCTCCCGCCCGCGCCAACCCAACCCAATCCCGCGCCCGGCCTCCCGCAT